CGTCTGGATGAGGCTGAGAACCTGGCCATGAAGGGTGGCAAGAAGCAGCTCCAGAAACTGGAGTCCAGGGTATGCTCTGTATATAAATGCTCACAGATCAGTTTAAGAAAGATATCCTGCAATCAAATAATTGTAAAAACAAGTTTGATTATTTATTATCACATTTCAGGTGCGTGAGCTGGAAGCTGAAGTTGAAGGTGAGCAGAGACGTGGAGCTGATGCTGTTAAAGGAGTCCGCAAATATGAGCGGAGAGTGAAGGAGCTGACCTACCAGGTAATTCTTAGTGAAAAAAACTACCCTAATTTCCCTTTAATATTCTATTCTTCTTCACTTACTGTGTAATCCTTTGTCTGCACAGACTGAGGAGGACAAGAAGAATGTGACCAGACTTCAGGATCTGGTGGATAAGCTGCAGCTCAAAGTGAAGGCTTACAAGAGGCAGTCTGAGGAGGCTGTAAGTTAAATGTAACATAATTTACAGTTGATATAATAATAACATCACTATTAACTGTACCTACTATATATACATATAATAATAATATTGCTATTTACCATCTTCTAACTTTTACAAAATAACTCCAATCACTTCACAGGAGGAGATGGCCAACACCCACATGTCCAGACTAAGAAAGGTCCAGCATGAACTGGAAGAAGCTCAGGAGCGTGCGGACATTGCTGAGTCCCAGGTCAACAAGCTGAGAGTCAAGAGCCGTGAAATTGGAAAGGTATCTTTGTTGTTTGCATGATCAGAAGATCAATTGTGTTGGCATTAGAAGTCGTAAAATAATTTTAAGCTGTGCACTTCAACTACTGACAGTGTAAATTATATTATATCTTCTATTGTACCCAAACAATCTCATATTTGAATTTTCACATGAAAAGAGAAACAAACTTACTCTGTAGCTTTATTCCTAAATTTGAAATTTTGTTATGCTAATTGATTTTCCCTTCTTGTTTTTCAGTCTGAGTCTGCTGAGTAAGTGTCACCATCCAGCTGAGGCCTCTTAACGTAGTTCATAAAATATGAACTAGTGAATGGGGGCTCTTTTGCAATAAAAATGATAATTGTCATCACTATTCTGAATCCTTTCATTTCGTTTCTAAAGACAAAATGAGTCCAAAACAAAGGAGAGTAATAAGCCATGCTGTAATTTCTTGTGGTATAGTTTGATATGTTCTGAGCATAGAAGTGGAAATCTTATGCAATGTGGTATAAGAATAAGACCTTAGGCCATTAACCACCATGAAATAAAGAACAAGGCTAAAGGAAAAAGGCTGCCCAGCATCCATGCAATGTTTTATTTGGGATGTCACAGGTGGCAAATACATATAGGTTGCCAAGTCACACTGATCCAAGACTTAGAATCTTGGGTCAGAACGAGGTGTCCAGTGGATTTCCTTCCATAACAGAATATCATAGAAACAACATATATAAGTCATAAGTAATAATCACCTTTTTACTCAAGTAATATTTAAATTGGATGAGCATCCAGGTTGGATGCAATCTAGATTCCTTACATTCTCCATGAAGTCACAATTCATTATGTCACCATGGGGTAAAAACAAACAAGGGACAATGGCTGTGGAGTAGTTGTCATATGTGTCACTCACACACCCTCACACACACACA